GCATTGGGGCAGGAAAGCAGGGGTCAGGGTTCTTTCCTGGTCACCATGGAGGATATTTTCAAGGTGAAGGACCCATGAAGGCTTCTTTTCTGGACTAAAGGGTTCAATGTCATCTCTATACCCAGTCATGTCATTCTTTAGAGAACAAAAGGCAGATCTGGAAAATCTTAATAATTTCTGCACCGAAAACAAACTCTTTGGACAAACACCACATCCTGGTGGTATTTCGCTGAAGCTAAACAGACAAAAACAACATGAGACTTGTTTAAAAGTGAATCAGCTTTGGTCCTAAAATGGCCAATGGAATTTCTCCAACTATCACTGAGAGCATGGGAGGGTAACGTAATGGGTGAGCATCCTGGCGTGTCTATGCATCCATCAGGGGTTTAAAATGCTAAAAGCCATACAAGTGAACTGGATTCCCCAGAAGTGTACCCTCAGAATGACTCTTCCTGAAAGACCAGTTTGTACAGTGGAAACATTACTAACATAGAAGTGAGGTTCTAGTCCACAGGCTTAACCAGTGAAATGAGTCAAGTCACTTAACCATGCTAAATTCATTTCTTCTTTAAAGTAAAGGTGTTGAACTTCAGATCACGTTTAAGGTTCATTAAAATTCTAAATGTCTCTGAGGTAAAACAAGCTCCAAGTCTCCCATCTTAAATTAAGGTCGGATGCTATTCTTGAACTTTCATAATAATGTTGAAGAAGCAGAAACTGAGTCTTGATTATTTCAGGAACCACTATATGCCACCGGTTACTTAAATAAGTGAGAACACTGGACTCCGAAGTTATGAAACTAACTGATGATAATAATGCTAAACTGTACTTACTGTGTGCCGGGCTCTAAGTGCCTGACATATTATTAACTCAATGAGGGGCAAACAGACAAGAACAAAGGCAATCTGAGAATCTTGAAACCAGGGAAGTATGTAAGAGGGGATAATGTTGACTATTAAGCTGGAACTTAATATTCCATTTTTGGCAACACTTAACAACAAACCACAACCATAAAATGCTGATAAAACTCCTAATGGGAATGGACCACAATGTGTGACTAAATGACCTGGCCTCCTAAACTGCGAACAATTTTCAACCCAGTAAAGAAATACCTGTTAGGACCATCATCGTCTATGGAGAAGCCTGCAGCAGCTACCACATAAATGTGTTTACTCTGAGAAAATAAACGAGCATTAATCTTGATATTGCCGAATTCCTTCATGATCTGCAGCATTATTAACCTCTAAAGAGCGAGTTCATTTACAGCACAACGTGTCAAGTAGATTAAAGGCTGAAACACTCACTCCTCAGTTTGCATGACAGGCATCAGACCGCTGGACTGAGGAAAACAGGAACCCAATTGTACTTTTCTTGCAATACTTGGTAGTGCCACACTCAATAGAGGTCCCTATGCGCTGACAATAAATATGTTTAGAGAAGGTTACCAAACAGGAAGACTTCTAAAAGAATTTAAGATAGATTCTTTATTGACGTCTACTAGGAAACTGCCATAAATGCACCAGCAAAGCGTAAGATACACAAATTCTTCCTGTTTTACCTTTGGAAGGGGATGATTCAGCGAAACAATGATTCGATGAAGCAATAACTGGCCTATTCCCAAGGCCAACACAGGGACTAGGCATGTGTCAGAAAGATCGGATTAAATAATATTAACAAACGCCGCTCCACCCTCAACTACAACCACAAGCTCAAGTAACCCTTTTCAGGCTGCAAATACAGATGCCAGAGGTTAAAGCTAGAAGGTAACAAGAGATGAGGACACTGAACCGTGGAGAAGCTAAGTCAAAAGGCTAGTTCTGAGACACAGCACTGGAACTCTGCCCTCCAGCTTGCAGTTAATAACTAGGGCCCTCACCACGAAACCAACACAGCAATTCAGAAAACAAGCCTATATGCTGCTTCTTCCCCTTCACCCACTAGCACACAGTGCTCTCTAGGCCAGAGCCCACTGTCTATTTTCGTACAGCCTATGACAAAGCCTAAAAGTAGATTTTCCATTTTTACATGACTCAAAACAGTTATCCAAAAAAGATTATTTCATAACACATGAACATTATAGGAAATTCAAGTTTTAGTGTCTATAAACAGAGTTTCACTGGAACACAATCACACTCTTGTTTACATACAGCTTATGGCAGCCTTCACATTATAACAGCACAGTTGATTAGTCCCCAAAAGCCTAAAATATTTGCTATCTGTTGTGGCTTCTGTTTCCTGACCTAGTGAAAACCTACACTGTGAATGTGGCATATGAAGAGTTACTTGGGGAAAGAAGAGAAAATAGAACAGAGGAAAGAACTAAAGTACGTGCCCACACTTTATCCTTTGAATTCAAAGCAGAGAGAACAGGTCCAGCAGAGCAACAGGGAGGAGAGGTAGGTGGTCAGATTCCACATCATGACAATGCTGTCAACACGAAAAGCTCCACTACTTAGACCTGACGATCTTCAAGAACTAAAGATTCCCTTAACATATGTTTTCTTCAACTATATAAAGTGGCAGCAGACACAAAGCTGAGCCATAGGTGCCCTCCGTCAACAAATTACATGGCTCGCCCAGCCGGGCGTGACTCGGCGGTTGAGCATCGACCTAGGATCCAGGCGATCGGGGTTTGATTCCCAGTCAGGGCACATGCCCGGGTTGCCAGCTGCAGCCGATCAATGACTCTCTCATCATTGATGTTTCTATTTCTCTCTCTCCCTCTCCTTTCCTCTCTCTGAAATCAATAAAGATATATTTTTAAAAAAAAACAAAAAACCAAATTACATGGCTCTAACCTCTCAGGGCTCCTTTGAATATTCCTCCAGTGTCAGAGCGGTAAGAGGCAAGAGAATGTGCCCTGGGCGTGAATCCTAGAGTAGAAATCCCACTCCACGCTCTCATTCCAGCTGGGCCTGAGCTTCAGGCGGTCATGTGACTCTCTGAATGGCTAATTCTTTTATTTATAAAATGAGGCATGCTGACCAACCAGGGGAATATTATCTTTCTCAGCGCCTAAAACTAGAGGAAAAGTGAGACTGGGAAAGAGCCGAGGAAATTTATTTTTTAAAAAAAATTGTTGCCTGGCCGGGCAAGGCTCAGCGGTTGAGCATCCACCTAGGATCCAGGAGATGGAGGTTCGATTCCCGGTCAGGGCACGTGCCTGGGTTGTGGATTCGATCCCCAGCAGGGGGCGAGCAGGAGATAGCCGATCAATGACTCTCATCATCTGTGTTTCTCTCTCTTTCCCTCTCCCTTCCTCTCTCCGAAATCAATAAAGATACTTTTTTTTTTTAAATGCTTTGTTTTCTTCTTTATAATAGACAAGATACAATTAGATAGAGATCTCTCTCATGGGAAAGCAAAGGGTCTATGGCTAAGCATCGGGCTATGCTCAGTGACACCAGCCGCTGCCATGTTAAGATGGGAGACTAAGAAACAGAGGCATTTGAATTCAAGGATATGAGTTTGTTCCTTCTCTTTTTTTAGGGGCTTCTGGAAACAAAGACACATGTACCCATGCAGGGTGTGTTCTCTTTTCTTTCCCCAGAGGCAAAAGCAACATTTGTCTGAATAATGCCTGCTATACAAGTAGCCACCCAGGCATTAGTCATGAATATTATCTGTAAAAGGAGTGGGTTAGAACAGTCAGCACCTCCCTACCAATGCACTCCAATAAAACGAGGCTTGTTTATCACAGTTCATACACTTGAAACAGTTTGGGAGGGTACAGTGTTGTTTACCTACTAGTGTAGCTTTACGAAAATATACCACTTAGCCCTCTGAAGAACAAAAACAGTGCACCATCTAGTCTAGACAGGGAGGACTGATTTTCTGAGCGGCAATATCATTTAGTCCAGGAACTTGATTTTCTGCTTCTGAAAGGTTTTGGTTTTTTTAAACCAGGGTGGAACCTAAAGCTGAAAGCAACATTTCTGTCTACAAGTTAAAGTTCCCTAAAAAGCTTTAAAAAAGAAGTAATTTCAAGAACCTGAAGGAAGACATTTTAAAACTTAATGAATATTAAATATAAAATTGCCATATGATCCAGCAAATCTACCACCAGGTATATGAAAACATATGGCCATACAAACTCGTATACAAGTGTTCACAGCAGCATTACTAACAATGGCCAAGAAACAATCCAAATGTGGCACAACCAACAAAATGTGGTATAGCTATAGAAGGGAATATTATTTAATAAAATGAACCTTGAAACATTATGCTACGTGAAAGAAAACAGTCAGAAATGACCACATACTGTATAATTCCATTTATAAGCAGTTCCAGAATGGGAAAATCCATAGAGACAGAGAGAAGATTGGTGATCACCAGGAGCTAAGGGGGTAGGACAGGATGACTGCTAATAAATGTGGGATTTCTTTTGTGGGGTAATGATACTGTTCTAAAATTAGACAGTGATGACAGTTGCACGACTGTACATCTATTAGAAACTACTAAACTGTGCTCTTTACTTGAATGACTGGATTTTATGGTATGTGAACTACACTTCAATTAATCTGTTATGAAAAAACACCTACTAAACTTTTTTCCATCACTAAAAATGACATACTTTATATTGTAGACAGCTAATATTGAGCTGTAAGTTAAAATCTCATTTTTGCTGCTATCAGTTTCTATATAAAGAAAAAAAAGAGTCAGGTTTTAAAAGGGCCAACATATCCCTTTGGTGCTAATTCTCATTTTGTGACACATTAAACTTGATGACAAGCTGAAAGGTCTTGTGCTCACAGGGAAAAATCTTTTTCATATTACAATCTCCCAGGGATCCATTCGGGAAGGTCCATTCTAGAACTCTGCCCTGTGGTGCACACCATGTATGAAAGCTTAACTGCAACAACATATCCTCATGGAACAAGAGAGAGGGGGAAAATACTGTGGGGGAAAAAATCCCCAAAACAAAACAACAAGGCTGTAAATCAGACACACCAGATCACGCTAAACACAGTTTGTGCTGGTAGAGACTTGAGGTCACTTACCGCCTGGGTCTTCAGGCCTTGTCTCGTCACCTTAGGCGTAGTAGCTGTGTTGCCTACAGCCACCTCTTCAGAAACTGAACTCTCCCTGATATTACTCAGAAAATCCACTTCATCGTCAGCTTTTGTGTCTGGCATTTCTGAAGAGAAGAACATGGGGGTTGTTACAAAGTACATTTGAAAAATTGATTCTTGTGCCTCACTATTTATACAACATGCTCCAGGTTTCACGTGCTTTGTTTGTTTTTACTTTGGGGCTAAATGGAAAAGTATTCTTTTGCTCTCAGGAATTGGAGTCATTTCTGACCCTGTGCTGAGCGATTCCTTTATTACATGGTTGTATGGTTCTCTCTAGCAGGATAGGTTTGTAGCTAAGGGAAGGAAGGTCCAATTCAATGTCTCTAGAATTTCCATTTTCACCACTGACTCTTCATGACAAATCTGAGTGTGGTGCTGACTTACATATAGAAAAATAAAATCACACGCTCCAAGGTAACACATTAACAGCTGGAGCTAGATGGTCCATCTTGACCATCATCAAAGAGGCAAGAGATGCTTGCATTTGTACAGGACAAAAAATAAAGAACCTCTGAGAATGAAGTAAAGCATTTGGGAAGAGAGGCTTTCTTTAAAAAAATACTACATACACTCACTTACCCAGAATTGCAATTGATAAGCGTGAACTGTTCTACTAGTAAGTTATTTTCTGTTTTAATTTTTGTTAATCACAAACTAGAAATTCCTTTTTCTAAGAAAAAGTTTTCACATGTCTTCTTTAGAATTATGCTCAACACAAACCAAACAGCAGTGGTTACCTGATCACCATATGGTCAAGCAAATACAGGAAAGGAGTGATAAAATAATGCCTGAAGCAAATTTAGGCTCTGGCACTTCTGTGAAGGGGACTGATGACTGAACAGTCAACCTTCACCTTGATAATCCAAATACAAACGGAACTATCATCTCAATTTCACATGGAAAATTTTCTCTGGTTGTTATTAATCTAGTCATGCCACTACTAGGGCAGAGAAAGCTGTTCCCTACATCAAAGAGCAGAGAGGTTCCTTTCAGCAAAGAATAAATTATATTAAAGTTTTGTTCTAACAGAACATTGTGACAAGTACAAAGGTCTACTTTACATTTTGTAAAGTTATATTTCTATAAATAAACTTTTATAAATTTCTTCTTTCTTTGCCCTTATAAGTACATAATCTTACTAGCAATTTAAAATAGGCAAGGAAACCCAAAGAACCAAAATCTGTCCTCTATTTCAAAAAATGTGATTAAATTTTAAAATCTTACTAAACACTACCCTTAGAAGTATTCTTTGATCAAGATATTTCAAAGTGAGTCAGAGTAATTTCTTTTATTGTTTTCGAGTTTTATTTATTTGGGGATGTGATTTTTGGTAAAACCTTGCTATCCTATACCCATCAACTGATGATATGTATTTCTGGCAAGCAGCGACCAGTCACAACGGTAAACAGTGATTACTGAGACTTGACGGGTGTTGGCACCTCTACAGGACTGGCCTGGCTCACTCATGTACAACCAGTTTCCCAAAACACTGTGATCAATGCTCTTGATGGGTGAAGGGCCACAAACCCTCTTTCTAACTGGAAGTTGTGTGTTTTCCCCATTTCAATTTCTATTTGGCTTAATCCACAGTAGCATATAAAAACAGCAGCCAGTGCCATGGGGCTCCTTCCAAATCAGCAGTTAAACTCATGTCTCTTCACTCGTAAAACAGGGTAGTTATACTCATGAATGGAATATAAACTTCCTAGAAAATACCCTTCTGCTATGAGATCACACTCAGGTGCTTTTTTTCCAGGGCAATGTGACCAGGGACTTTCCCCAATCCAGGCTGTTTTCTGAAGAAAGCACAGATTTTTATCACTGGCTACTTCTCTCTGTAATTTGAGGCCATGAGCACTGAGCACATATGACTTCTCTTGGTAGCAGAACAAGTAACTCGCCCACACATATCAACCAACCCCAACAACCCCAGACATACTGCTGAAATGGCGCTCATCTCATTTTCCTTCCTAAAACCTCAAGATCTTAAAAATCATTTCTTAGCATCTTTATCAAAGTCTGAACTTCTCCCTGGTTTCTACCTTTCCTCATAGAATACTATAGATAACAATGCTCAGATAGTTCACACTGCCTTGGGTTATATTCTGATTGCTGAGCCAGAAAGAGAAATAAGTCCAGCCCATGTGGCCAAAGACACGGCACCCAAATGAAAGGAACAGAGCCAGGCATCAGCTTACAGCCATTCCCATTCTTCTGAAATGTCAACCTGCCCGGCCCCCAAAATAGACTTGTTGTTGTGCCTTATTTTAAAAATTAGAGACCTTCTCATTTAAATTCTGAGCTAGCAGCCAACAAATTTCTACCACTTACAATACAAAACATTAATAGAACTAAAATGACCCAAAAATAATACTGCAGGTTTTTTTAAATCCCTCAACTGAATTAAAAAAAAGAGATTATAAATGGTTAAAAATGCTTAATTGGGGAAAATGACAATTGTGTTTGCATTGCTCTGCTTCCTAAGCAACTTCTTTTCCTGTTCTGTTTGCTCATTTCTCTACACACCCCACCCCCACACTCTTAACTTGTACTACACTTAAAGGAATTTTCAAAAATTAGGAAAAAACATCAAAAACACAATCAAACAATAAAAACGAAACAGGCTAGTTCTTACCTACAAAAGCCTGGGAGCAAACATTGAGACAGGTCCTCTGTCTATACCTGGTAACAGGTGGCGGTTTCTGAGCGAATCAAACTGACCTTGAAAGGTTTCAGGAGTAATACCGAGTCTGACTCCAGTTTCAGCTTTGGCATCAACTCCCAGTGAGAAGTTTTACTCGGAGGGCTGATTTCCACTGAGCAGTAGTGGTTTCTCTTTGCTCTCTGGACATGGAACAGGCTGCTGTGTGAGCAATCAGCTCAGTGCAGCTGCTTCACCAAGATAAGCAGACACCACGTCTGCCCTATGACAGCAGCTCGGCAGACTGGGCTGGGGCGGAAATCCTGCATCCTATCCCTGCACGGTGCAGGCTCCTGCATTCCCAGGCTGCTGCCCGAAAGCTACAGGCCCTGGGACGGAGTCCCCTTGCCCTTCCCCTCCCTGACGACCTCATCCCACCATCTGGGATGCGGGCCATTGACTTAGAACCATCCTTACAGCCAGCTGCTCCCAAAACCTCTACTCTTACTTTGCTCAGAACAGACTAAGGCTGGAGGAGGAGTTTCAGGCTTATAAATAAAACACACTTTTTCAGCACTGTTTTGATGGCTCTAGAGAAAACGACTAAGCCGTGTGATGCAAACACCTGCTAAATTCCTTTATCGTTTGAGAGCACCAGTGATCTGGCAGACACTGGTCCAGGGTAAGGCTGCAACAGCTCCAGCGTGACGGACAGAGCATTTACGGACTTAAGCAACCAAGCCAGGGGTCTGCAATACAGCAAGCACAGTGTGTTCAACCCTGAAGTGATGTGCCTCCCTGATGGTGGTGACTACTAACCTGGCAACCGACCCAAGGAATGCAAGACCTCTAAACAACAGACGCCTGGATTTCTACTTGCACATCACACAGACTCTAAGGGAATTTGTCTCTCACGTTGCTAATTTTGTATTCTGCTTTGCTCACCTGTTGCTGGCTCAGGTCCTTGAACCGGCCGAATTATCTTCTCTGGCTCCTCCCTTCCAGCAAAATATCCTGCAGGGTTTCCAAGGACTTCTTCACGAGTGCTGCCCATTGGTGCAGTCTCCCCAGGCAGGAGAGCGATCACTTTCCCAGGGGAAGTGCTCTCCAGCTGTTCAGCCCCTGGACCTGACTCTGAAGGACTCGCTGGTGGCATGTGACTGATTTCCCCCTCTGCCAGCAGGGCTCCTGAGGCCTTGACTCGCTCTATGACAGCATCCACTATACGACTCGCAGCCTCCTCGATCGAGTCTGCTCTCTTAGGCAGATACCCGGCTTTGGCAGACACAGCATAAGGTACAGAGGGAGTGCCCCCGTCCCTGCTCGGGGCCTTGTCATCACCGGTTGAGAGCCCTCTCTCTGCAGGGAGCTCTCTGGCAATGGGCTGCAGTGGGACATGACGTGCGTCGTCATTGATTTGGGCCCCCTCAGAGTCACCCATGCTGCAGCTGAGGTCAGCTCCCTCCAGCTTCCCCTTCTCCCAACCAAGAGGCACCATCTCTGGGGGTGCAACACCTTGGAGGTCAGTGGCACCTTTATCTGGTAAAGCTCCTGGCAAACCCTGGGTCATACCCTCCTGGCTCCGCAAGACTTCTGGAATCAGGTCGTCTTGGACATTGTGCGATAAATCCTTTCTTCTGGCTTCAACAGTTCCTTGCAGAGCACTATCCACTGCAACATCCAATGCCATATCTCCACTCACCGCACAAGCAGTGGTCTTTCCCTGGGTTTGAGTGTATTTTACTCCAACATCCATAGCAAAAGATCCATTGCAATTAAGAGCCTTAGACCCATCTGGTAACAGCCCTGGCAGCAGAGGTGAGCTGCTCTGCTCTGCACCCACAGCTTCTTGGCCCAAGTCTGCAGCCAGACTTGCTCCTGGTGGCACCGGGCTCTGTGCAGCCCCACCTTCAGTCACCAGTGAGACTGGTGGGGCCACTTCCTTGTTATGTTTGGTTTCTGCGTTCAGACAGGCCGAGGGTGTGCCCCGTGAATTACCGTGTTCCAGTGCTTTGTCCTGGGCACAGGCGGCTGAGCTAGGTTCTCCCTGGACTTCTGGTAACTCCTGTCCAGGGGCGTCTGTTCCCTGCTCTTCCTGCAACATTCCTGAAGGAAAAGTATCTTCCTTAATGGAGGAAAAAATCACTGTTTTAAATTTATCGTCCTGTCCCTGAGCTGCAGAGCTTTCTGGAACCACCAGATTTTTTCCTTCTTCAGTCAAATTGCAATCAGAGGCCAAAGGGGCCTTACCCACATGTAGCAGGGAAGAGTCGGTGCCCCCCTCGACACTCAGAACTTCAGGGGCTGCTGAGAGGCAGGGACCCTCCTGCTCCCCACCAAATCCTACAGGACTGGCATTCCCCATGCTAGGCTGAAGGTCCGGGGCAGTGGAGGCTGTAAACAGGCCTGCTGCACTGTCTTCTAGTGGCTGCTCATCTGGACCGTTCCAATCTCCGCCATCTCTACAATGTGTAGCGGTATGTGGTTCAGGAGTTGCTGTTCCCTTTTCTTTCTGGGAGGGGACAAGAGAGAGTACGTCATCTTTCATTACTGATTCGCCGCCTGCCAGAGAGAAAGTCCTGCCTGATGTCACTGCCTGGTCCGGCGCTGGTTCTGTCTCTGCTTTGGGGGAAACAGCAGGTGGATGATGAGAGACCTCAAGCATATTTGTTAAAGATGTTTCTAAGTTCAAATCTCTTGCTTGGCCCTCTTTACCCGAAACTTCAAGAGGACAAAAACCCACATCTTCCTGGGTGTCTCTTACAGGGTCAGGGGTGACTGTGCTAGTCTGTGGGCCTTCCGAGCAGACGGCAGTGGGCGGAGGCTGTGCGTGGGCCAGTCCTGCGGTGGTGCCTCCAGGCTGGGTGACTATGTCATCACAACGCTCTGCAGCCAACGCACTGCTACAAGTCACCGCGTTCTGTCCACAGGCGGAGGCAGCATGAGGTTTATTGTCTCCAGGTGTGGAGCAGACGGGTGGTTTGCTGCTCTGGCTCTGAACATGAGAGGAATTTGTTTCTGATTTCTGGTTTGGCATAACATCTTTTTGTGGCCTGGGGAAGGTGAAGTCAGAGGGCGACAGTTCCCCACGTGTGTTGGCTAAGGGAGTGTCTGCCTCTAAGCTGTCTGAAATCTTGTCATTTGTAGCAGCTGGAATGATGAGAGGGTGCTGATCTGCAGCACGAGCACTCCCTTCACAACATCTTGAAGTTTCAGTTTCGGCAGTTTTTTCAACAAGGGTTTCTCCATTACTCAATGCAAGTGAAGACTCAGCAGGTGTGTCACCATTCAGGGAGCTGGTGGCAGAAACACAGTTCGGAACAATGGCTTTATCCACAGGCTTCGTGTCCCTCACGTCAGAGGCTCCAGCTGTGCTGACATTAGAGTTCTCGAATCTTTCCTTTGTACTTTCCCCTACTTTGGGTATCTTCTTCTGCGTGGTGGTATCTGGGTTCACGAGACCGCGTTCCGTTCCCCCTGCAGTCTCTGGGACACTGGCATCCACTGTTGAACTGCCTACCAGTTCACCTCCAGAGAAATGCTGGGCTGTGCCTGATTCCATGCCTGGGACTCCCAGTAGGACAGCACCTCCACTGCTCAGAGACTCCTGGGCTGTGGCCACTGCAGCAGATTTTGTTCCAGTTTCTTCACCTCTGATTTCATAGGATGGAAGGCCTTCTGTCCCCTTTCCTCCACAATCAGACATGCTCCGAAGGCAGCTCTGAGGATCAGCCACATTCTCAGAGTCTACAGTGGCTGTTGGCTCCGCCTCTTCCTCTTTTCTCTCCAAGCCTTTACTTTCCTTCCTACGGGAACCCTCTGTATTCTCTTCCTTACCCACACTGGATAAATCGGAGGAACATTCAATCTGCCCAGCCGTGCTCCCTGGGCAGCAAGGAGAGCTCTCAGCATCTGCAGGAGGGGAGGAACACTGCTGGCTGTCCGTGGACACTAATGCGCAGGGAAGAAATGAGCCATCTGTATCTTGGGCAGTGGGCAGGCCTGAAAGATCCTGTGCTGTCACCGTTAAGGGCATACAGTTGTCCATCTCTTTGAGGTTTGTTTTCTAAAAGGAAATGAAAGATTTTTTTTTTTAAATTGTTCAAGGGAAAAGATGTCACTGACACCTATACACAAAAATGCTGTTGGAGAGAACTCACTACCATTCCAGCCCTTCTGAGAACACACGATGAGCTGATCTAAATAAATACAAATAAATTTTCGTTTGTTCCTGATATCACTTTCCTCCCTTGTAGCTACATATCTGCTGGAATAATAAAAACAACCAAGAATATACAAGATGACTATTTTCTATATTATAAACTTAGAAAGTAACTTAAAAGTGAGCATCAAAAACCTTCTTTTTAAAAAGCACAGTGACTTCCTTCAAATGAGCAACTAAGATTTTTTTAGGAGGTATTTAGAAGGGCAGAGGCTGCTCTTATCCTGCTTCACGTATACAAGTAAAAACAAATCCCCACCAGCTGGGTAAATGCTCTTTAATCACAAGGCACAGGCAGAAGCTCCTGTGCCCTAAATTCTTACTGAGGAGTTGCACGGTGTCCCTCAATCCCCAAAGTAGGTACCATTCAATCTGGCCTGACGATTTTAGATATGGGTCCTAATTTCAAGAACAGTAGATATTCTTTTGCTTTTTGATAACAGCAGTTCCTCTGTTGTCTAATCTAAATATTAAAAAAATAAAATATCAAACTAATAATACCTAATTCCTTATTCTCAGATGGTTCTATGGCTTGAGAATATTCTAGGTCATCTTCAAAAACAGTTTTTGCAATTTTAAAGTATTTTTTTAAATGTAAACAGATATAACCACTACATGGTAATGGTTAAAATAATTATGGTTGATCAAACCGACAGAAAATGCTATGCCATATACAAATGTTAAAACTATGAAGACCAAAGTAAAATTTTTAAAAAAATAATAATTATAACATGATGTAGAAAAAAAAATAAGTCCTTAGTTAATCCAAGGTTATAATTTGCCAAAATCACATGTACATGTAGACAAGGCTTATGAAAAATGAAGAAGAAAAAAATACAAATGATCTTTAGGGTGAGTTTGCCTGTAAATCACAATTTCAGGAATTCTTATAATAATCCTATTTGTTCAGTGCTCAGAAATTATTTTTAAACCATCTGGTTTGCTCTTAACTCATTATCTGGCCTATTGCAATAACTTCATGCATATTTCCTGTCCGCTGTCCTCTCGATCATTTGCTCACCCAGGAAAGACACTGAGTACTTAGAGTGTTCTGTCAGCAGACTATTTCTGCCTACCCACTGGGTCTATTGTAAAAGTTTAGTGTTGTGCTCAGTGAAGTCCTTCCAATAAGAGCCCTAGAAAAATGTATTCCACTAAAAGCTTCTACGCTATGCTCCATGGCATATTCAAAATTAGCTTGCTTTTGGTTCCTGTTGAAAGCATAACAATTTCCTAAAAATTACAAAAGCAGTTCATTATATTTAATAAAATGTAAACATTACAGAACAGAGATTTGTAGAAACAAGTGATGTTTCTTGAAAAATGTCCCTAACACATGCATCCTCTGCCAGTTTTAGTATCTCATGACTTCCTGTCAACTATTCCCATACCTTGCAGGTAGCTTTGACACCTGCAAACTGATATTTTCAATTGGGCTATGATTCACCTCGTAAGAAAAGCTCTAAAGGAAAACCTGACTTCCTGGAAGTCATTCAGAGGAAAATAAAATGACACCTGTTCTGGAATAAACATGATTCGGACAGGCAGAGGCAGGCTCCTCACACAACCCTACTATGAAGTACATTGGCCTGCTGGCCTCAGAGTAATGCCTGCTCCCAAAGAAGCCTCTGGCATTGAGCTGACCCTAGATGACCTTAAATGAAATTATTGTCAAGCTTTTTCCAAATCAAATCATCTCTGAAATAAACTGGGTGGAAAAATGATCTAAACTTAGCCTTTCAGATGTTATGGCCCAGAGAGATGTACCCACATGACGTTCATATTATCCATAACAAATGCTATCAGAGAGTCTGTAATGTTTTTATGTCTGGCAACAACTTCATCTTGAAGGCTTTGAGTGGATTATGAAATCTTAATTTTTTTAGTGATCTTTTTACCATACAACTATCGATTTAAATATAGCAGCACTGTCATCACTCACTGAAAAAGTTGGGAAAAGGCTTTTTTTCTGAGTAAATCTGGTTCTTGCACTTTAGCAACAATATCAGAAGCTACTTTGCTCATTTAGTTTTATAAAGTTAAACCAACAAATTTATAAAGATAAACAGATGAATTTCCTTTCCTGCCAGGAAAATTTAGTTCTGGTTGTTACATATTTCTGTATCTGCAATGTGTCTGTGTATCTTTAATTTTTCAAAAACCTGGCAATATCCAATGAAAAATTCTCACAGCCTCCTATTGTACAAACTCAATACTAGTTCTGCATCTGTAAGCGGAAACACTGAATATTGCTAAAACTGCTTTATTTACAGGTTTCGCAACCTCTGAGGGAAGCATTTTGTTTTTAGTATAGCAAGGTTCATTGGGGAAAGGAGTGAAGGAACAAAAGTCTTAAAATGGAAATTTTCTTCCTTACCATTAGCTGCTGTTGGATGTTCATCAGTTTAAAAATGTGCCCAGAGCAACTGTCCGCAGGAAGTAGGGGTTCATGATGTGACTGGTACTCTGAGGTTAATGTATAGACATTCAGCTCTCGATGATGCCTCACAGAACAATCTCCACACGGTATTTCATAAGATAAACTGCTCCAGGAATCTGGTTCTCCAGCATTCTCCCTGTAAGCAAGTAATCTCTGGTTAGTATAGTTACGTCCTACCTCTCAGGCACAGGTTTAACCCTCCAAGTCTTACGTAGTATTGCCCACTGGATTGCTCTTTGAAGCTCTGCAGGAGAAATCTGGTTTGGATAGTTCCCCAATGATTCGGGCATATAACTAATGATTCCACCCTCCTCACAAGAGGCCACAAATGGGTTAAATAAAAACTACAGGATTCCTCCCTAAGGATGTCATTTTGATCAAGATAAAAAGAAGTCTGGGATCTTAAAATAGTTAATGTTATGCTAACAACTAAATAATGAGGAAATGGAAGGAGGACAGCTCTAGTCTGGTTTTCAATAAAAGCAAGGCTTATTAAGTGTTTCTCCTAAAATGGGTTCCACAGTACACTAATTCCAGTCCCCTGTACTGGGAAAGGAAGAGCCAATCACTCCTCCATGCAACACAAGGGCCCTCCAACTTGTGGTAACAGCAGGGGGAGGAAGCACCGCCACAGGCCGCAGCATGTGCACCCGGCAATGTAACCATCAAATCCTATCCGCAACGAAGAACTCGGTTCCAAGAACTTCAAGTTATAGTTTTTTCATTAAAAGACAGAATTTTGCTCAACTCATATCATTACAAACATAAAGCCGACAAAGGCACAGGTATGTAAAAGAGCATTTCTGAGACAGACCTTAGATTTTAATTAAATGGTTTTAATAATTTTTTAAAGTCCCTATTCAGCCAGGCCTCACTGCTGCTCAGTTTTTACTCACCTGTGTGTTAATCCAACCCCACAGGGGTTACTGAAACTTTCCATAATTGTCTCAGTGGCCCACCTTGAGCCCTGTCTCCTCAATTGCCAGGGGACCTTTACTCCCTTCTCAGTGAGAAGCTCAAGGCCATCTGACAGGAGCTTTAACAATCTCCATCCGCTCGATGACGCTGTGCCCATCCCTCCCAAGCTCCAGGATGCCTCCTACACGGTGGGCCTGCCCTGCTTGCTCCTGCTCTCCTTAGGCAGCTGGTGCAGCCACGATCCCTGACGCCTGCCGTTTCCCACCTGCTCTGGGCTAGCCCCTTCCCTCCCGCCCATCAGAACGATGAAAGCCTCGGCAGCAGAAAGGGCAGTGGTCACTTACTGACGTGATTTCCCTGAATCAAATATGAAATACCGGAAACTAATCACAGCACATAATTAAAATAACACGCTGTGAAGCAATATCTAGTTTTTCAGTGCACTTTCATCATAAATATCATTTTTAATCTTCCAAGTAACAAGGCCAATGCTCTACGTACAAATGGAGTACCAAGTTTAGGTAAACCGACCAAGGTTTCGTACAACTAAGGGCTGAATGGGGGCTAAAACATAAAGTTGTTCATTCATTCTACGCAATCTATTCCCGAACAATCTAGTACAGTAACTTATGTGAATTGATGAGCTTAAAGAAAAGCTAAAAGCAAAATGTTTCCTTACATTATATTTTTTTAAAGGTACTGAGAGGTAGTCTCCTGAACACTTATATCTTAACTATTAAAATCATTTTCAGCTCTGGCCAGTTTGGCTCCGTGGTTAGAGTGTCAGCCCGCAGATTGAGGGATCCCTGGTTCAATCCCCGCCAAGGGTGTGTGCCTCTGTTGCAGGCCCCGCACCTCTCCCCCCCTCCCCCGTCCGGGCGAGTGCAGGAGGCAACCAGTTGGTGTCTCTCTCTTTCAAGTTGGATGTTTCTCTCTCTCTCTATCTCTCCATCTCTCCCTCCCTCCCATTCTCTCTCAAAAGCAATGGAAAGAATATCCTTAGGTGAGGATTTAAAAGAAAAAAATCATTTTCATGTTAGCACATATTCTCTACAAGGGTCTGCATATACAAAAGACTCCATAAGATATTTATAGCCTAAGCATACACAGAATCATAATTTACACTGCATAAACTCAAAATGCAAATCTAAATCCTAAGAAACAGGAGGGAACTACGTCTACATGAGGCAATTATAAAAATACCAGGCTGTATATGAATACTTGCATTAAAATATTGACATAGGTATTTTTGTATTATTGATAAAATTTCTCCAAAGGCCAGTGAAAAAAATAACACTACAGATGGTATGCCACTGCGCTAAAAATGCATTCTACCTGGCATCTGATCTTCTCTATGTTGTTCCTAACTTCATATTTCAAGATATCTCAAAACATCCCATTTCCAGAAAATGAATGGTCTAGGTTATAAATTTATTCATTCAAACATTCAACAAATACTCACACAGTTATCTACTATGCTCCCAGGTACTAGAAATATATCAATGAACAAATAAGACAGCCAAGGTCCCTACTATAATGGAGCTTATATTATAGTAGGGTATAATTACAAGTCAAGATAAGTGTTTTACAGAGAATCAATCAGGCTGCTTGCAGCAAAAAATTCCTTGGAGGGGAGTGGCTTCTTCAGATTGGTGATCAGGAAAATCTCTGAGGAGATTTAACAACTAACCTGAATCATATGAAAGAGCCAGCATGTGGAGTTGTTGGGACAGATTGTATTGTGGAAAGAGGAGAGCAGATGCAAAGATCCTGAGGTGCCAACCCGCTGCCAGTGTGGCTAGGGCCAGCGCAGCTGCACAGAGAAAGCAAAGGGAATGAAGAGAATGTAGAACAAAACAATAAAACTATTAACTGTTGGTCTGGTACCTGATGTGGATCATTTACATTTATTCCTCACAGCAACTTTAATGCAGTTATCAGGGTATTTCCACTTTTCATGTGAGAAAGATGAGGCTTAAAGGACAACCTGCTTCAGTGCACAGCTAATACACGAAAAGCCAGAATCTGTACCCCGACTTTCCACCTCCACAGTGATACCTACCCTGTAACAGTTTCTAACTCTGACCACATTCAAATAATACAAACTATAAGTCTGATAGGATCTTTATGAGAAGCTGATCAGCGATGTTAATTAGATTTTGTTATCATAAATTTTATAGGATCCGTACCAAGTTTTTAACTGTAGAAAAACACAAACTAAGAGGCCATTCCTCAGAGCCTGGGGTTAGCTCCTAAACTCAAGGTTGATGTATGTGGTACAGCAAAATTCTGTAAGCCCAGAGTGAATTTCGACTAACCTCCCAGTGTTCAAGCTGCTGTGTTCAATCAACTGTGTTCAACCAACCTGTGCTGCTTACCTTGTCCAGCAGGTTGCAACTCACCAAAAAGCTCAGGTTTAAGGTTAACGTACTCTAAAACCCGGTAACATCAACTGCACGGAAAAAAACATCTTTCCAGTACTAACAACACTGGTCATTCAAGGGAGAAGTTCAAAGCTACACCTTGTCGAGGTACAACAGAGTCAGATCCAGTGCCAGAGAACAAGCAATGAAGACCAACAAGGTGCCACTGTACTCACTCACGGCTGCCCACGCACCACGAGCACTGCAAGCCCATCCTACGTGGCTCCGGGCTTCACACTGCAGCTTTAAGAGGAGAGAACACAGCCAGGTCGGCCCTGCCCAAGGGCGTGCTTTGCTGTCTCCTTCAGACAGAAGTGTAGCACCTAGTTCCTTATTTGAGGGCCACTGCAGTATCTTTCAAGAAACCACACCACCATAACAGTGCCAAACCTCAGGGAGTCCTACCAACTCAACCCCAACTCCACTAAACTGGAGCAGGAGAGAGAGGCTAAATGCAGAGGGAGGGTGAGGGCAGGGAGGGGTCACTGACCACCTCAAAATGAACAGGAGGCTACTCACTATCTTAGGTGGGGTTGCAGGGAACCCACTGCTAGGCTAGTTATGCATTCATGCACATGCAAATTCACTGCACATTTTAGCACTGATATTTTTAGCTTCTCTCTTCCCTTTTTTTGGGGGGGGGAGGAACTACAGTTACTACATTTCTCTAAAGCTCAGTTTTCTCGTCTGTAAAGTGGGAATACCAAGTTTGTTGTGAGATCAAGTGAACAAGTGTTGGCGTGGTGTTTGGCCCTCCCAAAGTGCTCAGTACACTGTGACTATATGGTAGAATATTGGGCTGGTGTCGTTCTAATGAACAAAAAGGAAGTTTCTGAGTATGTGGCATTTAAAAAAAAAAAAAGGCACAGGAACCTTGCTTGTGGGGTAACCGTCAGGCACCTCGCCCTACATCACCCTACCACGATTTACTTCAAAAAATCTGAGAGGAAAAAAGGGCTTTAGTTGCCTAATGCTTGCAGCGATAGCATTACTGTTGTGGGGTGGGGCTGACCAGGAAGGTATGTCAGAAACTGGTGGTGGTGCAGACACATCAGAGTCATACAAGGCTGAGTGATCACCTTATTTCCAACAAATCTTTCCTAGATCTCCAAATAAAGGGACATGCTACGTTTCTAAGAACTTTACAAGCATGTTCTCATTTAATTCTAACAGACCTATGAGGCACATGCTGTCATTTCTCATTTTACAGATGAGAAAACTGAGGCTCACAGGTGATAAACTTGAATGCACTCAAGTTCAGCTTTGCCCTTTTTAAAGCCAAATACTTAATGTCTACTGAACATGTATATGAGCAACAACCAAGTGATTGCAGAGGTTACCATCCTCTATCAGTGAAGCAGTAACACCAACACTAAAAGTATTGTTAAATTCAACAATAGAATAGTATCAGTTATTATATTATATTCAAAATTTGGATTAAACTGTATGATATGTTGTTTATAAAGAAAACAAAAAAATAACCAATGTGAATTACAAAAAAAAAAAAAAGTACTGTGAAAATACGGAGTATTCCATAAGCATTCTCTACATAATTTAAAGTGCAGGTCTCCTTATATGCTTTTTATGCAGAAATTCTGCTGGCCAGTTAAAGCATAAATGTGTATTTACCATAAAAGCAAAATGCTACAATTGTGATTGTGAACACTTACATGCTATGCACAAAAACAAGTTTTCAAATGGTTAAATTAATAAAGAAATAGGTTAACAGTTAATAGGAATATTGATAATGCATTCGCTAAATAACTTTCAGAAGAACACTTTATCTTTTTTGAGCCAACAAATACTTATAAAAATAAATGATAAAAGAATTAAAGATATGACATTACATAAAAACTAATTTTGGCCCAGCCGGGTGTGGCTCAGCGGCTAAGCATCGACCTAGGATCCAGGAGATCTCGGTTCAACTCCCGGTCAGGGCACATGGCCAGGTTGCCGGCTCGATGCCCAGCAGCAGGCATGCAGGAGGCAGCTGATCAATGACTCTCGTCATTGATGTTTCTCTCTCTTCCTCTCCCTCTCCCTCCCTCTCTCTGAAATCAATAAAGACATATTTTTAAAAAAAGAGTTGGGGAATAGGATAAAATGTACAAGAATTTGTGGAAAATGTCTGGCAAAAATACAATAAATAGCAACTAGTGTTACTGGTATATAAATACAAATACTATCCTCAGAAAGTGCATTCTGCAATTTTCCAGCATGTTGCCAGATGAGGAAATCCTGAAATTACTGTTTGAATGGCCTACAAACAAAAACAAAAACAAAAAAACTATGAAATGTCAAAATTCTTAAAATGCTTCAGTGGAAAATTTACCAAAAAAGGAGGGGAAAAACGTCACTGAAAGCCAGATCTATGAATCACCATAACCAAGTTAGTTTGGTTAAAAGACTGACAATGTCACCAAACTTAACTCCTCATAAAATTCTATCCATAGTTTAAGAACAACAAGCTTGTGAGTAATGGCAACTGCTGACTACAAGGCCTTGGGCAAGGTACTGCCCCCTCTGGGTCTACTTTTCTCATCTGAAGAACCCAGTACTGACTTACTAACCTAACGGCACTTTAGATGTTTGCTGAGAAGTTTTAAATGAGAGCACGGGTAAAGCACCAAGGTAGCCAATATTCACTGTTTAATAAATGTCACTGCCCTTCTCCCACTTCCTAGTTTCCACTCAGTTCTACCACCTTATCTTTACCCAAACACAAGGGCCCGACCACATAGCGAGAAAGGAGGGTAGGAAGATGGATGGGTGAATTGATGGGTAGATGAATGGACAGACAAATGAACGGACAAACGGACAGATGGATGGGGCTTATGACAGTTGAATGTAAACTAAGAAAAAAAATCCTGGCCATTAGTTTGAAGGTTAAGTTTGTACATTTACTTCATTCTTTCCCCTCCTAAGTAAAAGCAAAGGCTCCAAACTTGTTTTGCACCAGATGGGCTACTGAGGACCCACTTGTCAAGTACTTGAAAAGGACCCTAAAAAGGCGATCACTGTGTTAACAGAACATCTTGCTCAATTGTACTTGGCTCCATTGTGAAATATGTACACTTAAGTAGTTACCCTACCCTCTGACCCTGAACCCAGGTTTCAAGTGCAAATGTGTCAAAAGAAGGACTTGAGAAACTACAGGCACAAGCTCTTTAGAAGGGACCAACATTGCCCACTACAGTAGACCGTGACTGACGGCCCAGGGTTTGCCAGGCTGGGTCAGTGCTCTGCATGTGCACAAGTGTCATCCCAACCTGGACAGATCACTGGACTTTGAGCCTTAGCTTGGTTCTGTCACTTCGTAGCCTTTTGACTTAGGGCAACTCACTGGACTCAGTTTCCTCAATTACAAAACAGGGATAGTAACACCTAGCCTACTCACTCAAGCTGTCATGAGAATGAAATGTAAAAAGACCAGCTAAGTGTAACCAACAATACTTTTAAGCCCATATGATGGGTAATATAAATGTCACATTATGGTACTGAGAATCTTGTTTTCCTCAGGAAAGTAGAGGCCAGGACTAAACGGAAAGCTTATAGCCCTTTCATACCCTATCCCAGTGGCATCTTCCTGCGTCTTTCCCCATCTGTCAGATGTCTGTAGGGGGACAAACATGGGCCTCCAAATCCCACAGATGTAACAGCAGCTCTACCACTTTTCCAGAAAGCACTGAACTAGTTACTTTAGTTCTCTGAGCCTCCACATTTCATCAGTGAAACATATATAATGCCTATTTCAGAAAGGTTGTCATAAGGTTGAAATGAAATATCTATAATGTACCAACAATGCATTGCAGGCATTCAATAAATAAAGATTTGTTGAACTGATACTGAAAATGAAATGAAGTTATGAGGACAAATATTTTTGCACTGGCACTTTGGGCAAGTGGAGTATTTCACCACTTTCATGTCCACACACCACAGTTAAAATCCTTAAAAGAAATAGTCTTTCTGTGAGGGAGGCAGCACTGTAAGTGATTCCTTAACCATCTAGAGTTCCCTTTCCATCAACCAAGAGGCATCGACATCACAGCCTGTGTCAGAGCCAAACTCATTTTTTAGAAGTGTTATCTATTACAATTGGGAATAATTTCAAACTCTTATCAAGTAGAGTGATCCAGATGCTGCCTGAAAACAGTTCAAGATTTTGGAAAAATTTCCTTAATGAATGAAAAACTGATACATACCTAGAAGAAAAGAAAAATTAAGAAAAGGGCAATAAGAGAAAACATTTTTGTCAGTCACTGTGCTATGCACTCTCCACGCAGTCCATTTATTCATCAAAGCAGCCCCTTTTATACTTGAAACCAAAGCAAAGTCGACTAATACCACTGTTAAGACTGAGGGGTTTAGTAAAAATCACCACATAACCTTTTTAAAATCCCTAAATAATGCTCAGAGCACTTTTTCTAGGTTACAAAGCTGCAACCTACAAGAACAGCCATATGAATCCAAGTTCAGGGCTAGATCTGCAGCCACATGCTCATGCCCTCCTCTTGCAGTCCTCTATTTGGAGATTTTGGAAGCTCGCTTTCACTGACTTATTTCCCTTCCTAAGATGAGTGGTCATGTCCGGCCAGTGTGGCTCAGTGGTTGAGCATCAACCAAGGATCCAGGAGATTGAGGCGTAATTCCCAGTCAGGGCACATGCCCGGGTTGCGGGCTTGATCCCCAGCAGGGGGTTTGCAGGAGGCAGCCGATCAATAACGACTCATCATTAATGTTCCCCATCCCCTCTCTCTTTCTGTCTCTCCCCGCCTCTCTCTGAAATCAATAGATATTATTTTTTTTAAAAAAAACAAAAAACAAGATGAGTGGTCGTCCCACATGTAACAGAGGGGGTACTATGAAGCAAGCCAAACACTCTTCTCCAAGGACACACACTCTAATTTCCTTAAAGCTGTGCTGCAATAAGTCTTGTGACACCCTCACCAAGCATATAATGAAGCTGTTGTAATCACTTTATTTCCCCATTTGGATGGCAATCCTTAACCAATCCTGCTTCCCAGCAAAAACTCCGAGCTATAAGATCACATTTAGGGGAACTGCATTAGAATCTCATAATAGTTAAGCTAATTGCTTCAACTTCTGGAACCAGGCCTGTCTTCCTAAGGGCATGAGGCAAACAGCAGAGGGAATCCAATCGCTGGCCAGATGGGAAGTACGAAGGAATGGAGCCTATCGTGTCCTGGAATACTGTCATAGGAGAGCTCAAGTATCCAAAGCTCATCTGAGATGAAGGGTGCCCCTCCTACCGTCACTGTATCTGCAGCATCCATTAGAAAGCTTTCTGCAAAGAACCTTCTCTGTCTGGTTTGACTGGGAAAAAGTTACAAGCTTGGCAGGTAAAGCAAAAACAAACAAAACTAAACACCTGTTTATGTAACAGTAAGTAGCATTACATTCTGAGATCTCTTCTTGGCCTTTGCAGACTACCCCACACTCACAGCTAAAAACAATAAAATACAAACTGCAACTAAATTAAGTCTAACATGAGCAGAACATCTGAGAATGTGGGAATAACGCCTTAATTTACAAGGGTCCCTCAACTGCTAAAGAACAGAGAGCCAAGAAGGTTTTTCTTGTTATGTGGCAGAAAGATGACAATGATCATAAAATAAAAAATATATTAAACAAGAAAAACTATACTTGAAATTTCTGCCTTTTATAAATATTCCAATGAAAAACATTGTCTGCTACAATGCATTTATTTCTCTCTTTGCACAAGAAAAAAGAATTCTTCGAATATTCTAACAGCCTTCCTTCAGAAGACTCTGAAGAGCCAGGCTGTATGACAACCGAACCCACAGCCACACAGACAGGCTTTCCTACTGCACGTTTCCAGGACAACTCAGTTGCTTTTTACTGCTACTCATACGAAGAGACTATTGCTCTTGATTTCATTCACAGAAATTACATTCAAACCAAACCTCAGTGGTTCCTTATATTTTCCGCATGCAATTATACTAAAGTATCCATTTCTCATTAACTCTTTCAAGTCTTGAAGACATACCAGAAAAAATACATGGCACTGGATAACTGTTTCCCCCTGTACTAAACTGGGATAAAATGGATACATGGTAATGGAATGCTACCCTCACAGACAAGACTTACTCTGAGTTTTCAGTAATAGTAAGAGGCAAGCAGCAGTGAAGGCAGGAAGGCGGAGGTGAGAGAAAGTAGTGATGTGACTTACGTATGTCATTCTCAGATGGGGAAATGGTGAGCAGGAGCAGGCTTACAAGCCTCCAACAGAAGGCAAGGCACGGAGTTGCGGTTCTAATTTGTGGCAAACACACTGAGATGCCAAGTGGGTGGTACTACCATGAATCAGGGGTGGGGCTGCCGGGAGGGGAGGGAGAAAGGGAGAAGGAGCACTTACTCAGTCAGAAGCTTGTGCAACTTGTGATAACCCCGCTCCAAGGCCAAGCTCACAGGTGTCGCGCCTTCCTGGTTGTGGATGCTGAGAGCTCCGCGGCCACCTGGCTTCTGCAACAGGAACCACGTCAACCTCAGCAGTCCCAGCCGCACAGCAAAATGCATCAACGTCTCCCGGGGGCCACCATCTGTAGATGGGGGAGAAAATAAAAATAAGTGGAGGAGAAATGTGAAAACAAAAATTAAACTAACAAAAACACAAGTTAGGTAAACAACATTATCTCAAGTACCTAAGATCCTAAAGTTAAGGCTACAACACACAACATGAACAATTTTATTGTGGCCAAAGAGAAACAGGTCTCAAGTAAAATCAAAATAAAACTAAAACAAATTGACAAATAAGCTAATTTATAAGGGTGACTCCACACACACGTTCTTTTCCGTACCAAAAAACAAAAAGTGGATGAAGCCTCACAACATGGGGATCCAAGAGGAAGAGCTGTTGGGCTTAGGGCTTAGACGGGTGTATCATAAAGGGTATAATTACTTCAAAAAAAAAGTAACACCCAGACAGGAGTTGACTAGTTAAACACTAAAAACAGGTTCTGCTTGTTAAGTACACACAAGTCTTTTTATTCCCCCACATTAAGGGCAAATCAAATTGTTGGCACTACCAGCTCCTTTGTTTGCTTGTTTAATGAAAGAAAGAAATGCATCTGCAGGCATAATAGGTAAGACTAACTCTAAGATAATGCACTCATAACTTCAGAAAGAAAAACATGTGTTTGGGCTTATGTCACTTCAAGTGAAGGCTCCTTGGTATAGGGAGTCACTTCGAAAGTGGTGAACTGAGTAGGGGCTCTGGAGTCAGGCAAATCTGGGTTCAAATTTGGCATTTGCCATCCGTGGGACAGGGCAGAGCCCCTCCAACCTCTCTGAGCTTACTTTGCTCATCCCTAGAACAGAGTGCCATCACCTCACCCCCAGGGCTGCAGGAACAAATGGGCGGAGGTAGGTGAAATGCCAGTATGCCGACTGGCTGTAGTAGGTACTCATTAAATGCCAGGTACCTTCCCTTTCCCTGCTCTCCTCTGTCCTTCCAGATTTCAGATTACATTCCAGGCTCACTGGCAACACTGTCTCTCTTCCTCAGGCATCCTCCCTGTGGTCTGCACCTGGGGTGGCGGGAGCTGATGCCACTGCAGGGCTGCGGTGTGCAGCCCCCAGGCTGTGCACTTCTGTGCCAGGGAGGACAGCTCAGAGACTGGGCTGTGAACAGTGACCTGGAGGTGCGCATGTCACTTAGCTGACATCTCTCATTCACCATCCGTGGCCTCTCTCAGGCTTCAGCTCCTTCACTGAGCATCCTCAGGCCTCTCGGGCCCCACTGTTGTGTCCTTACGCTGAAGTCCTCGCTGCTTCTCCGTGTGCAGAGCACAGTAAGAATGTGTGCACCTCCGAACCTGTGCTTTACACTGAACTGCACTGTTTTCTAATGCCATGTGTGGGTTGCTCTAGTCTCCCTCTTGCCAAGGTAAATGGTCTTGGAAGCAAATGCTCCCTTTCATTTTTTATCTCCCTACAGAACTATGCACAATGACTAATTCAGGATTTATAGGGTGTTCAGCAGAGACACATGGCTGGAAAGAAATCAATACCCGGAAGAAACCACTGCATGAACAGGCACCAATTTTAATAATCAACATCTCAGAGCAGGTGGCAAGGCCAGACAAAAGGACAGAAAGACCCTTCAGAGAAGATCAAATATCACCATATGACCTGTGCCTGACGCTGCTCACCAGCACCCTGACGGCCTTATCAACATCAAAAATACTAACGGGAACCGGCCAGGAACTATGTGGTTGTTTAGCCTGGTTAATTCTGGCCTTGCTGGGTGACACCTCTTCAAAGTCCTTTCCTCCACACCCCCACCCCCTATGATCCCTTATTTACTCTGAGTCAGCTCAGCACTTAAGAGCAGAGTCCCGACAACCGCACACCTGCTCAAAGCCGGCACCCCGATTCCGGCACCTGTATCCCCCCAAATCTCAGTCTGAGGTCCCTAGCAGGAGCTGCTAAGGGCCATGTACTGGGCTAAGTAGCTTGTATTAACTTCCTTCATTCTCACAACAGCCCTATGAGGTCTCATCTCATTTTGCAGATGAAGACAAGTTAATAACCTGACCACAGCACGAATCGACAAGATTTGGAAATTATTCTGTCTTGAGCCTAAAAACCATACCCTTTCCATTGCTCCACCCTGTCTCTTATTTGTAAAAATCAAGATCATGTTGTGGTTTTTAAAGCATCTAGTCATATGTTTTCCTCCAATAATAAAATATTTTTACCCACTATAGTTTCTGTTATTTTGTTCCTTTTTTTTATCAGTTTAAACTGTAGCTTAAACCTACAATTTAGGATCAATCTCTGTTCTCTCCTCTCTATATCTATATATTTTTTCCTCTGATGATTCTTTGTATTTTTCCTCCATTCTGAGTTACTCAACTGTGTTTTCAGATCACTAACTGCATTTCCTATGATGTCAATTGGGTCCTTTGTCCCAGTTTGAATTTAATTAGGCCATGGGATTCTGGATGCCCTTGCATCATGTCAGCCAACTCCCTTCCCGTCTTTGCCCTCATTGTGATGGCTTTTTTGCAAATGCAATTAAAGCCCCTAATCAGTTGATTTAATAAGGAAGATTATCCTGGATAATCTGAGTGGGCCTGAATCAGTTGGAAGGCTTCAGAAGCAGGGCTGAGGTTTCCCCTGGAGAGAGAAGTCCCGCCTGTGGAGGAGGCCTTGTGTCTGTCCATACTGCTCAGGGTCCCCTCTTCCTACTGAGGATGACAGCTGCGCCTCACCCTGGTGAACCTGAGCTTGCCCATGATCTTCTATTCTTGCCCTACAAATTTTGGGCTTGCTTAGTCGGCCCCTACAATCGTGCAAGCCATTCCCTGTAATAAATCTTAATACCTATTTCTTCCTCCTACGGGTTGTGATTCTCTGGTTGAAACCTGACTGACGTGCTCATTAAGCCTATTTTCCTCCATGCTGCTTCCTTCTCTAATTTCATTACAGGTCTGTCTCCTTCCATCTTTTAAAGGACAAATGGAAAATCTCTTCTAAATTTTCCCTCAGTGTCTTAAAGAACATTATCCTCAGAGAGCCTTCCATTTGAATACTCATGATACTTTCCCATTTCCTTTATGCTGTAATGTTATTTCACAGGCCATATGTTGGCTGGCTGGTTTTCCTGGTTAACCATCCGCACTCAATTGGAAAAATCCCTACACAGCCCCAGCTCCTACCCACAGAGAAGGTAGTAGGACATGTCTAAAGCCCCACTTGCTGTCTACTAATATGCTGGAAGCAGCTCCCATACATTCTCCCAGATCTGCAGAGAAGGCGGAAGTGCTCGGTGGGCATTCAGCCTTGATGAGATGCTAGATGGCTGCTGCTTCGAGTTGTCAGATCTTCTGACTAAGCAAAACGTTTTAAGTTCTGTGAACAACATAGTGATCAAAGACTATGTATACTTTTCTTACCCCATCGACCCACCCACAGTAATTTTTTAATCTCTCTGAGACTCCAAAATTCCACTCCAAAAGACCACTCTTTCTACTATCCTGTACTGCCTCTCAAATACTCCTAAGTCCCGTATGACGCAGGAGATCTCACACCCCGTGGGGAAGGACAACAAAAGGCCGGTATGAGACATGGGCTTTCAGGAAAATGACACTTGTAATCTTGTGACAGAATCAAGGTTTGACAGGCAACAAAACCTTGTGGAGCTAAAGTCCTGCCATTACTGGACACTGCTTGTCTTGTAGTCAAGATAGTAAGCCTCTATGAAGAAAAATTCCCCTTAGCAGTCTTTTCATAGTTTATATTTTCTTTTTTAGTAGCTATGACAGCTGAAAAAACACACAAATTTCCATGAAAACCTATCAAACAATTGTGAAACTAAAGCAGGAAATTATTACGATTGAGGTTCTATTAACCAACATCAGATACACTGAACTGAGAACGCACAGGCGCTGTTCAGCAAAGTCTTTCTTAGTCCTACCTCATCCTTCCCTCCCCACCTCAATTTCTCTTCGTGGGGAGAAGTTCCACCCCGAGTGTCACTTAGTTTTACGATACCATGATCAAATAAGAATGCAAGTTCCCCTGGCATGTTTCTCCTCCTTGCTTAGAGTCTTCAATGGGCCAACTCTGTTAACTGAGAGGTATGTTGATTTCTACTGTACAAGATTCTTTCAGGAGAAAAAACATCTTAATCTATCATTTTCACCAGCCACCAAGGCACGAAAAAGCTACAACTACATGAGACCTGGTAACTCAGAGGGGAGGCATCCTTACCCCACCATCCACCCTCCACCCATATGAATCCTTACTTGCATTTAAGACAAAAAGAACAGTATATAGGCTGCTTTATGTGACTAGAGATTAAAGAGCACTTGGAAGAACTGAAATGGACAAACTCCCTCTTGCTCATGCTTAAAGTGAGGATTAACTTTAGAAGTAAGTTAAAGCAAAAGAAAAACAGTCTCATTATGCTTCCAAGTGCCTTTCCTTTTTATGCAGTCCTGCTCTTTCCTTTTATAAGACATGTTACTTTCCCTCGTCAGAGCTCAAAGTTTTGTCTCTAAAAGGTGACTGGATATTGGTCCTGGTTTAGTCAAAATGAACAGCTTTGCTAACTAGCACACACTATCCAAGTATATTTTCCTCTATTTTATACATGAAGAAATTGAGAAACAGATTAGTTTCTGCAAAATCTCGCAATGAAGCCAGGATATAAACAAACTGACTCCACTGCCTATGTTCTTTCCATTTTACAATATCAAATCTAAACCAGAAGTTCTTAATTTCATGTTCATTCCTGTGGTGCAAGAAGGCCATGAATCCCTGAAATTATATGTAAATTTCTGCAGGCCTCTATGTATTTTTTCAGTAGGAGAAATCTGAGAGCTATTTTCAAAGGAGTCACTGACCTGAAAAAAAATGTTTAAAAGCTCTCCATCCAAACAATTAGTATGAGGATTAAGCATAAATCCTACACAACTCCTTTGTACAAGCATTAGGCTGGAACACCAGTACACATCCTCACTTTCAACAGCAAGTAGTCCTGTTATGTAACAAGTGCCCTGTTTACCTGTTTCGTTATCCCAGGCAACAAGCCTACTTTGTGCCTTCGTCTTTAAATGCCTTTTTAAAAGTATCTGGCGTACAGCTCGATTCGAGCAGAATGCTCCCCTACATTCATCCCTCAACAGCAAGCATGGGCCCCTCAACTGAAGCTACTCGGCCCTTAAAATACTCAGTGTTTGCAGATTCTAATCCACAACTAACTGAACAGTTAAAACTGCAGAATATGAATCTCGATCTTGAAAATCAGATTCCTGATCCCAGGTGTTGACTCAAAGGCAAGTTTTTTTTTGTTTTTTTTTTTAAATATACTTTATTGATTTCAGAGAGAGGAAAGGAAAGGGAGAGAGACAGAAACATCAATGATGAGAGAGTCATTGATCTAGCCCGCAACCCGGGCCTGTGCCCTGACTGGGAATCGAACCCTGATCACCTGGACCCCAGGTCAACGCTCAACCGCTGAGCCACGCCCGGCCGGGCTCAAAGGCAAGTCTTATCAAGACCCTTCCATGCATTTCTCCTGGCAAAGTACACCCCTAACCTGTTAACTTTCTTTCGTTCTTTTAATTATTTTTAATGTATGTACAAATTCACTTTTGTGGGGTGTACAGTCCTATGGTTTGGAACACCTGCACAGGTTCTTACAACCACCACCACCGCAATGCAGAACCACTCCAACACTCAAAGAATTCCCTCATGAAACCCTTCTGCTGTCAGACCCTCCCCTCCTCCTATACTTGGCAACTACTCATCTGGTTTCTGTGCCTATAATTTTGCCCTTTCCAGAATGTCTCATAAATGAAATCATACAGTAAATACCCCTTAGAAACCAACTTTTTTACTTAAAACAATGCATTCCAAAAGCATCCGAGTTGTTGCACATGTCAGTAGTTTTTACTGCTGAGTAATAATCAATTATGTGGATGTACCACGACTTATTTACATAGTCAGAGAGAGAGATCTGGGTTAGTTCCAGTCTCTTGTGGTTATAAATAACGCTGCCATAGGCATATTTGTGGGAAGATTTTTTTTTTTGAGTGAATGTAAGATTTTTATTTCTCTAGCATGAATAGCCAGAAGTGAGATTGCTGGGTCATATAGTAAACATACATTTAACTTTATAAGAAACTGCCAAACTCTCTTCTACAGTAGCAATAACGTTCTACACTCCCACAGTAATATACAAGATGTTCTGCACACTTGCCAGCACTTGGTATTTTTAATCTTAGCTGTTCTCATAGGTGTGTAATGGTACCTTATCAGGGTTTTAATGCATTTCCTTAAGTGTTAATATTTGATTTAGCCTGTACTAGCACTGCTTGGAAAGCACATGGAAAGTCCACAAAAATATTAAAGCTGGCCAGTTCCCTATTAAAGACAAGGAAGCTAAGGCCCAGAGAGGGGAAATGATACGCCTCAAGTTTCAGACCTGTACTTTTTCTAATACATTGACCTTTAAACAATGAGGGGGTTACGGGCACTGCCCACACAGTGAAAAATCAGCATGTAACTTAAGTCAGCCCTCTGCATACGTGGATTCCCAACTGTGGACTGAAATATGTGTGTAAGTGGGCCTGTGCAGCTGAAAACCATGTTGTTCAGGGTGAATTGCATTTCTTCTTAACATAGTAACATGAACAAACTATCCAACTCCTGTGCCTTCTTTAAACAAACAAATAAATAAAAATGCCATAAGCTCCACAAATAACTACTGCAACCCATCTTGACAGTGATTCAAGAATGGCAATCAGAACAGGCATTCCCACACCACCACAGAAACAGTAGGACTGTAGGTATGAAGCCCCAACATTTGGTTTCTGGAAAGGTGCTCATGCCCTATATAATGGCAAATAGTCTGCTTTCTAGGTCTTGGCACTATAGAGGGTTCTTGGACACTATATTAGTAAGAAAAAGAAATGGAAAAATGCTTTCTTCCTGATTTGATTTTAGAGTCTTCACTTTCCTTTGTATTCTACCTGGGCAGGATTGCCCTGGGAGTATATTTATAGTAAGCCCTTGATGCTAGGGGATGGCATTCCTGCTGCTGATCACAGGTTTAACTGTGAAATTCAGTGGCTATAAGAGAGGCAAAGCTGGCAAATGCCCCTTCACCAATCTTCCATAGGGGAAAAATATGTTTATTTGATGGGTCTGCGAAAGCAGGAACTGGGCATGCCCCTGGCTCAGTACCCTCTGGGCATCCCCCTCAGGATCTGCTACCAGCAGAGAGGCTGACTTCTGGTATGTTCTCCCTAAATAACACAGTAACCACAGCTGGGCAGACCCTGAAGGGCAGTCCTGTGACTGTCCAGCTCTTTCAGAGATACAGTAAGGACAGCAAACCCTTCCGGCAGGAGGTGTAATGTCAATCTTCCAATCTAGCTTTCATCAGTACTAGAAAAAATATTTTCCCCTCTAGCCATTTAACTCCTAAATCTTTCAACTGAATTTAAACGCAGGAGGAAAAGAGGATGTTATTTATTGGACCCCAGGTATGTACTGCTTCATTTAAATATGTAAATAGCACAGCTGGCATGGCTCAGTGGTTGAGTGTCGATCCATGAACCATATCATGGTTCAATTCTCAGTCAGGGCACATGCTCAGGCTGCGGGCTTGATCCCCAGTAGGGGGCATGTAGGAGGCAGCCGATCAATGACTCTCATCCCTCATGTTTCTCTCTCTCGCTCTCTCTTCCTCTCTATGAAATCAATAAAGAAAAAGATATATTTTTAAAAAGCAAACAAAAAAACCCATATTTTTAAATACATAAATAAATACACACACACACACACATATATATATATAAATGAAACCATGACATCTAGAAGATGTCATTTGCCACAAGAATAATTATGTGGGAAAACCCCTATCTGACTCAGAGAAATATATATAGATCCCTATTACATCAGTGTTTTTTAAAAAGTGGAGCCCTTCAATGAACTCTCACATGGAAAGCCAGTAAGTAAGAGTGAAAATAATCTGGTTTAAAAAGTGTGGGGTTAAAAACAATAATAATAATAAACAAACAAACATCAAATAACAAGAAACACAAAGAAAAAAAGCTATGGGGTTTCTCAGAGCTCAGCTTGCCCTCACGCTCCCCCCACACCCCACCCCCAAGTTTCTTTTCCTCAGACTCCATGAAATCTCTAGAGAACTTCAGAATACAGTAATAAAAACCCTGTCTGATCATTAAATACCAAAAAACGTACAAAAAGCTACTCTACTGCTCTCTTCGTGAAGGGTGGATCACTTTCTCCACTTGAGAGGCCAAGCCTGAAATCGGGACCCACGGAAAGGTGCTGTGCTCCCTCTCTACAATAAATAAGAAGTGAAAATGGCAACAGCAGTCATTTCACCACAGGAACAGGTTTACCAGCTCAGCTGAAAACCCAGCAGAGATGCCATCAAGGCCCCTTGGCTACAGCAATTGTGAGGTTTTTTTTCAGCCACTGTGGAAGACTTGATGCCAATGACCATATAAAAGCAGCCCCATTAAAACCTGTAAGTTCCAAACTCAGTGTGTGTTTTGTGTAATTTAAGTTCTTACCATGCAAAGTCTGATTTGTCCCCAACACATTCCACTCTGCCGGCAGCTTCAGGTGTCTGAATGCCAGGGCAACCTTCTCATCAAGGGAATTCACATCTGCAGACGGGGGTCCTGACCGATCAAGAAAGCGGGTGAAGTTCAGTGCTTGCTGATTCCCAGCACTGGTTGCCAAGAACTGAGCTGCATCATAAGCCTCATCCTGGATGAACTGAAAGTCTTCTTCGGCCACCACAAACACTGGAAGACCCTCTTTGGAAGCACACAGCAGCACCTTCACCGTCTCACAGCAATCATGACCTAGAGAAAACAGATGGGACAAAGACAACGGTATCAGAGTCTTCCTACTGAAAGGGACACGTGTGAGTTCTCACTGCTCTTGCATGATATTCAAGTTCCCCTTCCTAGAAGAAGCCCCTCCTTCCCCTGAGCTCTGAGCTCTGACAGCAATCTCCCAAACTTCTTAAAACTCCATTTCCAGCTCTAATGTTTACAAATACAAAGCAGTTGCCTTACCAAACAGCGGACACCTCTGTATCTCAGCTGTCTCCATGCTTGCAGTGTCTGGCACTGAACAGTCTGAGTGTCTCAATATACACTGACCTGCGGCTGGTCAATTTGAATGAAGGAAAGCATGACAGCTCAAGGATCTTGTAAGGCCTGGTACAGTGGGAAGTCGAAGGCCCACTGAACTGAATTATATCAGAAAACCCAACACGGAAAAGGTCACTCATACACAGGAGGAATTTTACAGATTCCTCAGCACTTACCTTATAATCACAATACAATTGATCAAACAAGGCACCTTGAAAAGTATAGAACTACTTTATTTTATTCTTTTATTATTAGCAAGTCAAGGCCTAGAAAGTAATGTCTGCTCTCAGGTATCTGTAAGGTAATGAGGCCTTCGATGAAACTGCCTGGTTCACACACAGATGACACAGTGCCAGGGCTGCAAGCCCGGCTAAGGAAAAGCAGGCATGCCCCCAACAGTGGTGCCCAAGGCACAGGCGGGCAGACACCTCATGCACCGTGTGACCTGAGGCAGCAACCTGCACGCCACCCAAAAGAGCTCCGCTGGAGTAAAACCAGAAAGGTTTGACAAGGCTGTTTCTGCACGTGAGGCTTCTTGGGGAATCAGACTTTCTTGTGGATTTTTATCTTCACAAAATTAAGTATTTGCAATATGCGGAATGTATTTGTTAAAGAGTTTTTCCTCAGCTTTCAAACACTGATCTCAACTAAAACTCGGCTCCTAATATCTTCATTCTTCTTGCATGTAATATCTTTCTGATGAGAACAAAATAAAGATGGAACTGATGTTCTTGTTGCTTTGCCTGATTAACCGCAGGCCCCTGTGCACCCACGGCTCCCCCGGATCCATTCCCACGCGAGGCCTGCTTTTCCACCAGGGAGTGAGGCCCAGGGAAACCCTCTATGTGGCCCCTGACTCTGGCTTCCTACTGTGGACACAGGCCGAGGTTTCAGACTTGGACAGAACAAACTAAGCTTTCTGCTATCTTTGCAAGAGAAAAGAGTAATTTTTTTTTCCATGTTTCCAATGAGAATAAGAAAATTGATTTTCCACATACTTTGACCTCCTCAAGCCCTTTACCTTGTAACAAAAGAAATCTCTCACTGCTGTGTAATTTTAGAGCGGTAGTATTTACTAACCAAGTACCTACTACATACCAGGCATTTTCTCTACACAACAAATTCAGGAGGTATGTTTTGTTCTCACATTATGGATGAGAGAACTGAGTCTCAAGGTTACACAGATTAAGAAGCAGAATCCATTATTCAAATTCAAGTCTGATGCCAAAGGTCGCCTTATTGTATCCTGATGCAAGAGTTTTATACCACATTGCTTATAAACAAAGGAGAAAGGGTGACAGCTTTGTGCCTCCTGAAAGGGGCCCAATAGTTGGAATGAGGGGCCAGTATAACTACTGGGAAAGGATAACAGGTTCATGAACCACCAAAATCAGTCTCCCTATAAACACATCTCTCCCAGATACTCCCAATGCCTTCCGAGCTGAAGTCTTTCTATGACGGCTATAAGAAACTGAAGCACCCCTTTGCGTGTATGCATTTCGACTCATTTATTTTGAATTCATGCAATTAATATATGCAATAAAATTAGAAAAAAATCTTAATCCGCCTTTGAAGGGCCCTAAGGCTTCTAAGTTATGTGGCCTCAGATCATCTCTGCTTCTCCAGGCCTCAATTTCTTCATTTATAGCGTGAGGGAGCAGCCTCTACAGGCTCTACCGTTGGTCCAACTGGAAAAGCCTGTGGGTTTTACCAGGCAGATGAGAAGGGAGAGAATGCTAGTAAGAAATTCCAGGAGTAGGGCAGTTTCAAAAACATAAAAATGGAAGCAGAGGGTAAGCCCAAGGGATGAAATAATTACTACAACACAGTTGCAGGAAGATATTAACTTGGTTACATCTAGATGCTTAGTGAGAGGACAGACCTGGGTTTCAACTCATTTTCTTACTTATTAGCTATGTGGCCTGAGGTACACAACAAGCTCTCTAACGCTTTTAAGTCTAGATAGTCTCATAGCCTTGTAAGTGAGGAGCTATAATTTAAAAGAATCCTCTTAAATTCCTTAATACTATTTCCCAAAACAACATACATAGCTTCATTTCATTTCCAATTAAATTAGATCAGTAAATAGATACACGGAGTAGGCAGGTAGCCCAATATTTCCCCTTCAGACATGAACTCACAATCTAAAGGAGAAACTATGAATCATCTTAAGTGAACTGTGCCATAAATCTGGAATTTGTTTGATATGATTATAGGCTTCTTTTTCAAAAGAAAAACTGAGAATTAAAAGAGGGACGGAGAACTGAGGGTTTCCTGGATTAGTCTCCATTAAATTTAGAGTGAATTGGAAGAGTTACTACTGATCAAGAACAGAGTACCCCACCCTCCAGTCTGAAAATCAACCACTGCAAGGCTGGCAGGGTGCCTCTCTCACATTAATGTTTTCTATTAGGCTCAAGTGGTTCTTAAGATTATTTTTTAATCCTTATAACCTTTCAGATAAAGCATCTAGAGAGAGAAAAATCAACATTTTAAAAACAAAGTTATATAACATAGGCCCAGTAATGAAACTAAAATCACTGCATATGCACACATAAGACCTTTGCTACCATAAATTAGCTGGAGACGTGACTATCTGCGGGGGCATTAGTCTTCTGACTGCCTTTGTGCACACAAAAATGCAAGGTATTAACGACATCTACATCCACACTGCAAAGACGTGAGATGGGGAGTCACATCCAATTCCCTATAATAACCACCATTTAACTTCTTTTTATGTGAAAACAGACGCTGCAATGGACAGAAGAGTAGCAAGGTGTTCAGCCAGTTCCACGGTGTTTTTCTTCCACTCAATTTTCTGGTAACAAAGGAAAATAAAAATTACCAGTCTTTTTAAAAAGGGAAGTTCTGAAAAACTGGCCGAGCCTCTTCTAAAAGAAGTACACCCAGGGAATTTAGAGAGGGAAAGAAGAGAGATAAACTGATAAAGAAACAAGACCTAAACTTCAATTCCATTTTTTAAATTAGGTCCTGAATTCACCCCACAATGAGGTCTTCATTTACAACAGAAATATACAGTAAATTATGGGGTGGGAGAGATCTGTTCCTAATTGAATGAAATAAATGTAAAGGGCCCTGAAGTATGCTGGCAAGTAGCTGTAGAGTCAGAAAATATTACGTCTGAATCTCACCCTCCATTGCAGAGTCTGGGTTTTCCTTAAAAAGTCATTCAACCATGAAACCCATTTGCTTATACACAAAAGCATACCATTGCCAAGCATAAAACAGGGATCTAAAACTGTTATTATTATCGGCTACTAAATGCTCCTGTTCAGCATACTCAAGGAAAACAGAGCCCCAATACACTAGAAAGAGCTTCTGCGCATGGCCCAATGAAGCTTCTGAGCTGAATGTTGCCTTTGGCACCACAGGACTGAAAAAATTAAAGGAAGGGGGAAGAATGCAGAATAAACAAAAACACAAGGAGCACCTTGGTGAGAAACAAAAATTTAACTGCTGATGGTCCTCTTCAAAGCATCTAATCCAAACCTTTTTTTAGCCTGCAGGTCAGGAGGTGTATGCTCATGAGGTTGGGCAAGTTTTTCCACAGGCTTCTTATCACTCCATGAAGCACCCGTCCCCATGGAAACGAAACAGAGCTACAGATAAACATACTGCTGAAGCACGACCCAAGAATTACTTCATTTCCTATTAAGCTAAAAGTGGCACACATCCCATCCGGGCCTTCTCTTCTGAGGATGAAACAATTGAGACTTTGTTTGACCGGCTCTCTGAAAAGGAACCCTGGAAGCGCCTGCTGGGCCAGACAAGCCCAGTCCGCTCCTACCATCCTCTAACAGAAAGATTGCATAAGCAGCAATAGTGGAAAATATAAAATGTATTTTACTACTTTGGCATCCAAGAATAAAAATTTGGTGTCTTTTTCTTCTCTTTGAAGTGGCGAAATAGCGTTAAAGGAAATTTTAAGTCTTCAGACCCAGACTCTACCAGGAGATAGAACTATGTGCAGAGGTATGCACCCACAGCAAGTTTTTGGTGGCCTAACGATAGATGTGCACATTCGGTGTATGTGTAAACGTCTCTGTATGTACATGAGTATTTAAGCAGGAGGGGGACAGCAAGCACACAAATGTCATCATGAACATTTTGACTAATTAATGGTAAAAATCTGATCCACTATGTTCCAGCCTGTTACTCTAAAGCAGTGTTTCTTAACCTTTTATTATTCAGTGTCATCCCCAAAAAAAGCATTTTAGACTTTTCTATTTGCCCCATCCCATAAAATTTTAATACCATAATTATACCATATACTTGTGGATGTATGTCTGTGCTTTATATATAAAAAGTAAATTTTTGCCCCCCACCAAGAGCCAATTTTCGTCCTTGGGGGGATTACTGCCCTCAGTGCGATGCATGTGCTAGGATTCCAGTGCTGCATCCTTAGCTCCAAGGTGACGAAATACACAACTTCCACATAAGCATTACAACTGAAACAGTAGACAAGAGCTCTATTTTCCCTTCAACTTGTTCTCACTGTGTTTCTCCAGGATAGCCACTATATATACTGACTAGCACTGGGACACTTAAAATATAAAATCACATCTGTCTAGAAGTCGGTCTCATAGTAAGAGTATTTTAGAATAGGGAGATTGTTAGAGAAAGTCCAGTAAATAAATTAACATTACTTTGGCAAAGAGGAAGGGTATAATAATTCTCTTGATTAGGCCAGTTTAAAGCCTACAACTTCTTTTCGAATGTGTTACTCAATTTGGCAACTTTTGGGCCTCTGCTGCTAGAAACAGAGCTTGGATCAGAAAAACTGAGACACTGTGATATAACTGGGACTACCTGCTGAGACCTAGGCGGTAAGCACTGTTCTTTTTTTTAATTAAGCCCCAAAGGACTTCTGATCATGGTAAATATAGTTTTTATTTTTCAAATGAAAAATCTACTTTATATAGTACCTTCCCTCTGATGAGAAAGAAAAGGAAAATACAAAAGAACTGAGTCAAATTTGGGGTCACTGAATGTCTGCAATTTTCCTGTCAAACAGATCCCTTGCTGTGGATTCTAAAAGTAATTCATAGACATGCTGAAAAAAGATTTCTGCCCAAGGCCTTTCACAGAAATAGTATGCAGCATCCACTAAATATCCCCGTCTTACTTTCCATTCTAAATTATCGTTTGCTTGGTCTAAATTCACATTTAATTAATAGACGTGAACACAATCAGACAGTGTTCCATATCTCCCCAAGAATTTTCTCCCAAGGACACTCAGATTTCTTTATACTCACCAGTCCTATACTGGTCTTTCAAAAAGAAAAAAAAAATCTCAGCTTCATCTGTAGAGGAAAGTTACTGTTTAGTTAAAGTGGGATCTGAGTTGGATCCTTTTATATGAAGAGAAGAAAATGGAGGTATTTTCATTTACAGCAAAGATGACACCTTTTGTTTTTGGAGATGCATTTCCATTTCAGGCTGCACTTATGGCACATTATATTCTTAAACCAGCCAATTCACAGGTACTTTGAATGTGATCTTTTAAAATAAAACTTGTCTTTGGCTAGAGTTCATTATTAGTACAAAGGAGGCCTTATTTTCAAAAGAAAGAGCATTGTTTTCAAAAAGTCTTCAAGATGTTTTTATTTTAAATTACTATATAAGTTAAAAGTAGCATGCTCACTGTAAAAGAGCATTCAAACAATTCAAAGGCAGATGAAGCAGACAAGCCAAGTCTCCACCTAACTGTCCCCTAATAGGTTACTACGCTTAAGATAATTTATTAAAAAAAGGAGGATGAATTATGTCCACAGCCTTTCAGTGGCAGTAAGTCAAGAAAAGATTACTTTTAAAGCCTTTACAATTTCTTTATAATTAAACACACACAATTCATTATGAACTTCTCACCAGAAAGCAAGAAAAACAGTGAGAAAATAGAAGAAATAATCTCAATATCTGAAGTCAAAGAGGCGTTTTTTTAAGGAGACAATTGAGGGATGTCTCATTCCCCTCCGAATAAAAGGTTACAGACTAACATCAAGGAGTAGCTAGCTGTCTTTTGGAAGGTCAATCTATCATCTGGTTTTAGTAAAAACTAAAATATTACAAAACACTGACAGCAAAACACGCAGAAAACTCAAAGAAAAATCAGAACCAGCAGTGTGTATGAAATATGACATTAAGAGCAAGGACAAGGCACAAAGCTCTTTTTCTGCCCACAGTCAGCCAAACTGAAAAGGAATCGCAGAGCGAGGCCCACACGTGAGCAGAAAGCACGCAGAGACACCCCTCAGCAGCAGCAGCTGCAAACAGACTGCACATCTGTCCAGTAACTGGGATGCGCAAAGTAAAGACTTTCCATGAAGAATCTTGACTAATCGGACACTGCCCTCAGCAGACAGGAAATCCGAGGCTATCAATACAGCTGACGCACAGAAGTGATCAAAAGTAGCTCTGGAAAGGGGGCACAGACTCCTGCCCAAGCTGAGAATTCAATTCAAGAAGGCAGAGACTCCTGTGCATTGTGAAAAAGAGTGGATGTCTGTGTGCCCGCACACATGCACCACCTTTCTAGAAGAGTGACTTCTGAGAACCTAGGTGAACCTGGACACAGTGAGAACACTGTGCCATCACCTGGCCAGGGCTCCTAGAACAAGCCTCCTAAGCATACGCCAGTGAACAAAACAGACAAAAATCCATGCCTCATGAAGGTGATGCTTCAGGAGGTAGAAAATAAGGTAAATAAAATAGGCAATGTGTTAAAAGTTGATAGCACGTGAAGAAAAATAAAGCCGAGAAGGGGACAGGGAATAGAGAGGGGGCAGTTGTATATTTACAAGACAGACAGGAAAGGCTTCACTGAAGAAGTGTTATCTGAAAAAAGACTGAAGAAAGGTAAGAACCAAGTCCTAGACGTCCATAAAAACAGACTCAGGCAGTTTAAGTCTAGACTAAAATATTAATGCCACGATATGAATGAGAAATTCAAAATTCACTTAACCCCCAAATGCCCCATCCCTACCCTTTCACAAATTACTGCAGCAGGTGTAGCAGCTTAAAAAGACAAGTAAACAGAAAAATCACATACTTAATGCCCAGAACACGAGAGTCCATTCAGAGATGTCTTTGGCTTACCCAGTTAACAGAGCTCTAATTCACCAACTAGGGACCTCCCTGGGACCCTTGCGGACATTGGCACATATCAAAGGCACACGTGAACATGCTGCCTTGCTGTTCACCTGGCTTGCTGGTACAAGAGGGTCTTTCAAGGACTCTAATCCTTTGTCACCTCTGCTGTGATGAAGCATCTCATGGCAGCAGCCTGACTGAACTTAGGTGTGTAGCAGCATGTTCAGGCCAACTGAGGGGCAAAGGGGACAAGCTGTTGGGCACTGTAGTATAACAGAGGATAGGTGAAGTGGGTAAGATCACACTATAAGGGGGGGAGAGCTGATTAATAGAAAGTGAAAGCAGGTACTAGGATTCCAGGCCCAAGGCAAATGGGTCAGGAACTACTTCCGAGGATTTGGATCAAATTAGAGAAAAGGAACAGAGTACTGTATCCATTCCGGCTGACTGGCAGCACATGGGTACTCAGAGTCCCCAAAACAAAAGGACACCAGATATGGGAACTGCTGGAAAAGACTGGTACTGAGACACATGAAAGAGGTGTTAGAACCAAAGGAAAAGGAAAACATTGGAACTGGATCAGAAAAGGTGGGCTGGGGACAGAATACAGGATCAGGTACAAGCCAAGAGCTCTAGGCTATCACACAAGTACAACAGGTTTGTAAGTCCAAGGAGATGAAGCTCCCGCAGCCAACCCTAAGAGAAGTACCGTCAGAGACGGTGAAGGCGCTGCGGGGCATATCTGCCTCCACCAGAGGCTGGACTCTGCTGGCAGTTGTGACTGAGGATCACAGCTAGGGCCTGGGGCTACATCCGCCACATTTGTCCTTTCTCTCATAGCTAGTTGCCTTTGCCTTCTAGATGATGCTTTCCTGCTCGGGCTCGCTCTCAATACACTCACACACACACTCCCCCCTCCCCCAAACTTTAACTCCTAAAGTATTTATAACTCAGGAATGAGTAATTTTATAAAAATCACCTCCATTCCTTTCCTACCCAGTTGAGGAGCTGTTCCTCCCGGTCACCCCCACATCATAAATGCTGGGTAATGGTGATACTGCAGACACCTGCCAGAGTGCAGCCCTCAATCCCCACATCAGCCTTTCAGACACGGGTACATCGCAGGAAGGAGATGAGCGCAGCTTTAAGTCACAAAGGCGGATACTAAACGCTCTTTAGAAAAGAAATCAGTATCTATCCTGACGTCCTTGTTAAATTTCCTAACCCTAAAAATCTGGGGGGAAATATTTATAGGATGATCAAGAATCTTTAAATCCTGTATTTTTAAAAATAATTTTGCCCAGTAGAAGGATAAATATGGACTTCAACTGTCACAATCCCAGTTCTTGAATGTGTTGTAATTTCCATGATTTGGTAGGTATTAGACATGAAGTTAATTTATATAAAATGGCACAGCAACGAAAAACTAGCAATCTGATCCAATACTGGCAAGACCAAATATTGAATAATTTTTTACACCATTTATTTTAATAAAGTGAAACTGAAGTTACATATAAACACTAGTAAAAAGAAATGTCTCAAAAATTAAACTCATTTTATTCTCGAAAGGAAAATAGTTCAATTCTCAGCACTTTTTAGGGGTCCCTGTAAATGTGCTCGCTTCTGTACTCTGATAAAAACTGGCCAACTGCTAACTGTGAAGCAAGGCCAATGAAGGAAAGACGCTCAGCTGCAAACACAGATCAGTGCATCTTCAGGTGTTAGGGCAGGTCAAGAGACAGTCATTACTTTATCAGCCATTTATGTGGATAGAGCAATAACTTAATGACTTTGTTAAAAAAAATTTAATAAGTATTTTCCTTTTAACTCTGTTAAACTTATAAAGGCAACAGTGAAAAAGTACTCATTCCACCATGAACTATAACTTGTTAATCTGGGGAAGCTTTAGCTTTTATAGAGATTTTTTTAAGTCTTTCCCCCCCACAGATACTGAGGAATGTGTTACTGATTGTTCTACCTCAGCTTTGCCACTCTGATGTCAAGATCAAATATGCAGTCACACCACAGTAACCACATGAGGGTTTTCGCCTTCCATGCATGCTTTAGTGTTCCCCGAATCTCAACATTCCAGTAAATTAACATTTTTGCTGACCCTGATTTTTATCTTTCAATTTATGACACCATTTTATTTCATTTATTTCTAGTTAGGTTCAGACTTTTGTGAAACAAGCAAGATATGACCAAAATACTTAATTTTAAAATGTATTTATAAATAAAGATGTGACCATAGTTCTATCACCCTGATACACTCTTCCCGTCATGCCATACTAATGAAACAGAATAAAAACGTTTGCGAACTAGTAAAGATTCCACTCACCAGGAGTAATGGTCTCCAGCGTATGAGAACTGATCCTCCGGGTACTTGCACAGTGGTGGAGGGACGAACCCGAAAATACCAAGTACAGCACTGCATCTTCCTCAACTTTGTCGTCTTCAGTCAGCAGCACGGTGACAACACAATCGCCCTAGGAAAGGGAAAGGTGGGGCAAGGACGTGAGAGAGCTTCCTCTTGGGAGTCTATCTTTACAAACACCACATTTAAGGGAAAATCAAGTGTATCATCTAAACTGTGCCCCATTCTAGGAGATTTAAACTAATACAAACACTGACTGAGCACTTATATACCAGTAAGCATTCTAGGCAATGAGAATACAAAATGACCTAAAAAAGATTTTAAAGCATTGAGATTTAAAGTACTGCAGTTCAGTATTGTATAAATCCTAACAGTACACTATGGAAAACCAATTTAGAGAAGGCCATGCCATTCTAGCATTAAGTAGGGGAGAGAATTCTCATTACTTACCATATGTTTTTCCCTTTCCATTTTGGCAACAAGAAAGTCATACCAACAAGGGAACTGTGCCACCCTGTGGCCACAACTAACTCGGCCCAGCAGCACAATGAGCTGCAGGCAGTGTTCTACCAAACACTGAAAACAAAAATCTTAAAGTCAAACTTAGGATCAAGGCTATTACCAGAAATGCTTCAATAGGCTGACTGTGGAAACAGAGTTCAAAATATATCCTGAAGCCCTGCACACGGTAGGTGCTCAGGTCTGTTGAATGCAGCAATGTCAGAAATCAGAATGAACTACACAGAAGCTATAACTTACCATAAAAGCTGAACTGGAAAGTTCCAAAGTTAAAAGGAATAGCACCGACTTCAGTCACTACAGTTATGCTTTAGACTTGGAAACACTTTTGAAAAGCTGAGGCTGGTAAAATGTTTAATATCCTGTGCCATAATAAACCACAACCAGTTAAAATGTCTGCAGCACGTGAGATGAGTCAATTTCTCAAGGTGCTGAAATACCATTACAACCTGACGTAAAGATGGAAGTGAAAGTTCTAAAGCTTCCTCCTTTAGAGCACAGGTTGATCAACTATGACCCATGGGCTAAATCCAGCCCTCTGCTTGTTTTTGTACGGCTCACAGCTGAGAAAAAAATTTATTTTTGAATGTTTGGAAAAAAAAATAAAAGAGAAATAGCTTCAACATGTGAACATTATATGACATTCGAATTTCAGTGTGAATAAATAAAGCTTTATTGAAACACAGTCACACCCACTGGCTTATACATTGTCTATAGCTATCTTTGCACTAGAATGGGCAGGCACAGCAGTGCTGAGTGGTTGCCACAGAGATTGTAAAGCCCTCAAACCTAAATGATTTACAATGTGGACTTTTACAGAAAAGAAATGTTTTCTCCACTTCGGTATCTAACCTGGCATTCTAAGAATGTATCTTCCTTTTCTAGATCAAGGATTTCCTCTCTGGGGCCTGCCGTCTTCTAACTGGGGACAGGGAAGATGGCTAATGGGCGTCGGAATCCTTTTACAAAGCTCTCAATAACAACCTCTTTTTTCATTCCCAAGACAAAGGAAAGTAAGTTTCAAATTGCTTTCACACCTTTGTTTAATAGTTTTTCAGTTTACATTAAGTCAAACTACCCAAAATATGAAGTAGAATGGAACACGGAAGCTTCAATCACTTTTAAAGTCACGTGAAATTCAGATTCCAAAGGCGCTTGGAATTAAAGTACCTGTTTTCCCCGGAGGAGTACTGTCTGCACTCTGACAAAGTCACTGAGAGCAAGTAACAGAAACTCTTACTCTGCATTTCCACCACGTAAGTCCCATTTTACTGCACAAGTGCCAGGCACCTAGTATTACCTGAGATGGCCTTGAAAGATAAAGCAAGTGGAGTGGTGATCAAAAAATAAAAACAAAAAACAGGTCTAAGTAAGAGTTTTTGCTGACATAGTTGCCTTGATGACACCTCCTTGCAGGATACCCTTGGGTAAATGATTTTGCTGCCCAAAGAACGGACCAGCCCCACAGAATAAATAGATAAATCAATCTGACTGTCCAGTTATGTTTCTAACTACATAGATAAACTTATTAACAAGGGAAACTTTCAAGACATTATTGATTAAAATTTTAATTTGACCCAACCCCAAAAGAAAATGCATCTATGCCTCTGACAGACGACACAGAATTAGAAAAGAAAATCTATATGAGGCGCCGTTTTTTAAGTGTCCAAAATACAGCATTGTAGTCCCAAATGCCACTGATCAATCACTTATTTGCCAATAAAAACAGGGTTTTAAATGGTAGCTAGGGTCTCAGTTTTCCCATCTTTCCTCATTTAAGGTGCATTCAGCGATGTAGCACTGACAGCCCAAAACCAACCATCATGGGAGTATTGACACCACTGAAACCGGCAAATGCTACAAATAAGAGGCCCCCTGCCCCCTTTTAACCATCATGGAGACCAGGTCAGCGAAGGCAGAGTCCAATCAAGGGGATCACTGTTTATGAGGCATAAAAGTGCAGGGCTTGCCACAAGAGCAAACCCAAGGTAAGTACCTTTCCCAACGCTAACACAAAATGATTATTTTAAATACTACTACTAACAGTAACCAAAATTCATACTGTCTTCTAGCTTCGTAATTTTGTAACACTAAGATATATGCAAATCCTAAAAGATTTCCAGCACCACCTATTTGGACCATTAAAATAAAACCAGCAGGTGGCGCTCAGTAAATCTGTTGGGTTCTCTGTGGCTTTACAGACCTCGCTCCCTAACCAGGAAGAATCTTGAAATTTCAGCTGGAAAAGGAACTAAATTACAAAAATTTGGAAATCATTTAACGTACAGTTCCCTCAACAGGAAGCTTCCTTAAAAAGAAGAGAATTGTTAAAAATCCTAAGAGTCTAAGCTTTTTGTTTCAATGTACCACCCTGCTTCTCAAAGTCTACTCTTGTTTAAGCAAAGCTCAATTGGTAGGAGGGTGTTGGCTGGTGGCTTAAAAAAAAAAACACTCAGCCTCTCCCTCCCACAAACGTTTCCCAACTCTCTGGAACTGCTGGAATAATTAGGTCAACACTTAAAGAGAGAGTCTTCCCTTTGCTACCGGGACTGGATATTTGGTTAAAATGCAGAGAATATATGATTTTTTATTAATTCTTGGTAGAAATTTAATGAAAGAATTGAAACTGATTAAATAAATCAACCTCTCTTTCCTCTGTCCCCTCCCAGAGGGCAGCTGGTTGAAATGGGGACAATCTGCAACTAAAATCTATCAGCTTGACCTCTGTTCTCACCCATCTCACCCACTCAGTCCCCTTGGCTCTCCTCGAAACATCGCCCATGAAATAGGGTCTCCAGGCTTCTAGGAGCCCCGATTTCACTAGGAAGCCCTCCACACGCTAGGAAACAATGGAAGAGTCTCTAAAATACAATGTGATCGGGACACTCCCCTGAGACACTTGAATGGCCAACAGGATAACATCCTAACTGCTGGTCATGTCCCTTCAATTTGTGGCAAACAAGTCCCTCCACAACCCAGCCCTTGCTGACCGCTCCAGCCTCCTCTCCCTCACGGAGCCGCCTCACTCCCTCACTCTCACTGTGACACAGCGCAGCACTGCCGGTTCAAGAACATACCAAGATGCTTAAGCCTCACTCTTACTGCCTGTCTCACTGCCGGCCACGCTGCTCCCTTCACCTGTCACACCCTCCTCTCCCCGACTGGTGGTGACGGTGAGAGTAAACCATGCAACAAGACAATGTCTTTCCTTCCTGAGTAGACACCTGGTCCCCTTCCTCCGGTGAAAGGCCTCCTTTCCTGACCCAACATACTATGCCACTCCCCCCCACTGCATGTTCATCAAGGTGTCCTTGAGCCTGCCCAGTTGGGGCAAGTAAACGGGCAATGCCTAAGGAGGGGAGCCCAGCAGGCCAAGCTGAACCACATCGCTCAGATCTCATGCCCAACCCAGGTGCCACAAGCTATGATGTCAGGCCACAGAAAAGAGAGATTCGAAGCTGGCAAGGACGACACTGTCAGCTACACAAGATTAAGAAGGGAGACTGCAAATGCAAGGTTCACTTATTACCAGCTCTGGGACTGTTTTAGGAACTATCCCTAATGCTTTTTGGCTATGGCTAGACTCTAAGCCCTGTAAGGGTAGAAACTCTATTATACTCACATATCTGAAGTGCATGTAACAATAATAATGGCTCTTTCATCAAGTGCTAACTGTATGTCCTGTTTTCAATGTCTTATACAGATTAGGGTTACCACTGAATCCCTCAACAACCACATAAAGTAAGTACTGGTATTTTAACAAGGTATGTCAAGTATCTAGCAAACAACAGGCACAAAATAAATGTTCCCATCTATTCCCAGGTAAATAAAAATATCCCACATTTCAGAATTCCCATGTCTGTACTTTCCTTAAAATCTCTTTGGGTAAAACATGTTACTTCTCAAAGAAAGCCAAATTTTAGGGATTTATTCAATTATGGGTGAAGAATTTTCAGTAGATGGCAAAACTGGCTTTATAAAACTCTAAAAAGCAGTCCTATAGGGCGTGTAGAAAGAGTTTTAAAAAAATGATTCGTTTTAAAGGTAGATTATAGAGCTTTCTTAAAGCTGACTAATCTTTCCAATTGATAACAAATAGCTATTTCGGCATTAAACAATCCACAATACTTAAAAACCCTGAAGGTAATTAGGAGAACTATTCTATCATTTCAGAGAACAGGAACATCTTTCCTATCCAACATTACTGATAAAACCATTTCCCATAAATATCCAGTTTTTTTTAAAGTTTTCCTTTCAAAGTGTCAATTTTTAAAAAAGAAACTAGCTTTATGAAAACCTATCTAAGGTGCTTTACACCCTACCCGGCCTTCTTAAATATGGACAGGAAAGGGCAGGAACACTGACTGTTATGTGGGGACAATATTTAAGGGCTGAAGAGTGAATGAGTGAAGCAGTTCTCAAAGTACCTGGTACTTAGTAAGTATTCAATAAATGCTAGATATTGTTGTCATTTTAATACCAGAGTTAATCCTCACAAAAACCTTATAATATAGGTAGTACTCTGCTGAATTTTACAGATGAAGAATCTTGGGCTCCCATAGCTAGGTTAGTACTAGCGCAGAAACTTAAACC